CCCCCTCCTCCCCTCCTCCCCTCCTCCCTCTCCCCCATCTCCACCCCCTGCTAAATCATCAAATCCTCCTCTTGTGACTCTGCCTCTGACATCGATTCTTCGTGCTTCCTTCTCCCCCTGTTCGTCTTAACGATACCAAGATTCGTCGTTCTCCTCAACGGATACATCCCCTCCTGCTCGCATTCCGCGGGCGCAGCGCCTGGGAGAAATCAGACGCATGCTAACGAGGAAAGACGAATAAGACATTATGAAGACAGAACACCAGACAGAGTAAGAAAGGGAGAAATGTTGATAAACAAGAACGAATTGTCGAAAGGTTTAGATGCCAACCATGATGTGACAAGGGATAAGATTGGAACGTGAAGGGAGTGCAGGGTGGAACAGAAGCGTTGTGCATACATCCTTCAGCAGGCTCTTGTTCCTCTTGTCCCTTGTTCTCGTGCTCCTCCGTCTGGCCTCTGTCCAGCCAACTTCAGCTACAGCACCCTTAAACTCCTTCCTACATGTTCGCAGATGCTCGCAAGACTCCTTCTCCTCCTTCCCGATCTCCACAAGTCACCTCCCGCTTCTCCCTTGACGGCTTACCTGCAGCATTCACCAACACCTATCAGCAACCGCTAAACAGCCATGCCTCTCCCACAAACCTGTCTCTGCTCCTTCCGCCGCCGCTATGCTGTTGTTGCTCATACTGAACAGGAAGGAGGATCAACATCGACACAAGCGTGCAAGCCAGTCATACTCGTCGCTTCCTCCCCCTCGTAGTTTCAGCATCCTCTCTCTCGATCGATCCATTCTGAGCATGCCGAGACCGGCCCCGGCCTTGGCTGCCTCTGCACAGGAGGCAGTTCGCTGGGGAACGAAGGAGGCGCATCCTTGGCATGGCAGCTCGAGAAGGATCGAAAGACGGTAGGCCGAGACAGTCTGGAGGAGGAGGAGGCAGGATAGAAAAATTCCTCGCTGCATCTTCTGAAGTCCCAAGGAAGAGTCGTATGCAAGTCAGATGTCTTTCCTTGCCATCAGGTCACTCCCCTCTTGCCCGCCTAGCGTGACCCTATAAAGCATCGTCAGGTGGTTCTTCCATGGACTACAACATGCCAACTTCTTCCTCCTGTGGTTATTCTCCTCGCCCTCAATGCTCGCGCTTCCTCCAGCCATTCTCGCCTTCTTGTTGTGGGGAAGCTGCCATGCTATGCGGCCTTCTGGAAGGGAGGATAACTTTGGAGGATACTAGAACGGGTCTTCTACCGGGCCCGGGCCCGGACTGCCAGCCCCGGGGCATTTCAGTGTTTTTTTTGTGCCACAAACTTTGCACCCAGTCACACACCTAGCTAGCATCTGAATTTGTATTCTATCAGGGTAGGGGTAGTGTACCCTACCATCAAGATGATGCAATTTGAAACTGAAAAACAACCATGTCACCCTTCAAAGTTGGTTCACTGTCCCCATTTGACCCCTACCCCCCCCCCCCCCCCCCCCCCCCCCCCCCCCGGGGGGGAAACCCCGGGGGAAACTTTTTTTTTTTTTTTTTTTTTTAAAAAAAG